ATCATCATCAATAATACCGAGACCATCATCATTAAGTTAGTAGGCATTCATGAAAGAGCTGGGTCTTTAGATTTTTCTTAAAGGTGCAGAGGGACTCTGCAGATCGAATGCACAAGAGCCTGTACCAGGAGCTGTGTAGCGTGTTCTGACAGGTAAGGTCTGATCTTCCTGATGTTGTACAGGGCAAATCGACATGACCGGGCAATCAAGGCTACTTGAACCTTAAAAGTTAGCTGGTCATCAATCATGACACCCTGGTTCCGGGCAGACTTTGTGGGCATGAGTTTGGTTGTTCCAAGCTGGATATTGATCCGTGGTTGCATAGAGGGACTGGCTAGGATGACAAGGAGCTCAGTCTTTGAAAGATTGAGTTGAAGGTGGCGTTCATTCATCCATTTAGAGATATCAGCAAGGCATGACAAGATTCTTGCAGAGACTGTAACATTGTCTGGCGGGAATGATAGGAAGAGCTGGGTATCGTCAGCATAGCAGTGGTATGAGAAGCCATGAGAGTGGATTATTGAACCAAGTGAGCTTGTGTATATGGAGAAGAGAAGGGGACCAAGCACTGACCCTTGAGATACCCCTGTGGATAAGCTGTGCGCTTTGGACACTTCTCCCTTCCACAACACTCTAAAGGATCACCCAGAGAGGTAGGACACGAACCAGCAGAGGGCAGATCCTGAGATGCCAAGTTCAGAGAGCGTGCATAGGAGGATTTGATGGTTGACTGTGTCAAAGGCAGCAGACAGGTCTAGCAGTAATAGAACTGAGGACTGACCCACAGCTCGTAGCGATTCTGTTACTGACAGTAGTGCAGTTTCAGTAGAGTGGCCCCGCTTAAAGCCTGACTGATTTGAGTCAAACAGATCGTTTCTGGACATAAACTCAGAGACTTGCTTAAAGACTGTGCGCTCAAGTATTTTTGACAGAAAGGGCAGAATGAGAAACCGGTCTGTAGTTTTCAACCTGGGCTGGGTTTAGTGTGGGTTTTTTGAGCAGAGCGGTGACCCGAGCTTGCTTGAATGCGGTGGGGAACACACCCGTTGACAGAGAGGAGTTGATGATATGCTTAAGTGCAGCATTAAGCGGAGAGCAAATGGTCTGCAGGAGGCTTGATGGTATTGGGTCCAGAGGACAGGTGGTGGGCCAAGAGTAGAGCACAAGCTTAGGGACTTCATCCTCAGTCAGAGATGAGAATGAGTCGAGTGAGGCACTTTTGGTTTGTGCCTTTGGGCTGAGTTGGTCAGGCTCAGAAAAGTGGTTACTGATGGTTGCAACTTTTTCAGTAAAATACGAGGCAAACATGTCTGGTGTGAACAGATGGAGGGTGGAGGAGGAGGTGGTTGAAGCAGTGAGTTAAAAGCAGAAAACATTTTTCTTGTATCTGTGGCATTGCATATCTTGTTCTGATAATATGTTGTCTAACCCTAACCCTTTTCAGGCTGGAGGAGAATGAGACAAATCTTTGCTTGTAGTCACTGAGGACTGTTCTTTGCTCTCTTATGACTTCCGTGAGCCATGGACTAGGGTGGGTTTTGCGAGCGGGTTTGGACACCAGAGGGCAGAGCTTGTTCAGAGATGAGGCTAGTGTAGAGCAGAGTATGTCTGTAGCCTCGTCTGTAGAGAGTGCGGTAAAGACCTTATGGGCAGGCATGGCAGCCATTACCTCGTCAGACAGCTGAGCTGGCTTGAGCAATCGCATGATTTGGTGGTATGACACCATTTGTGGGTGTGCCTGAGAGAGTTCCGGCAAGGAGATTGTGAATTGAATAAAGAAGTGGTCTGATAGATGCAGAGGGGTGACAGTCAGGTTTGCTGTCGAGCAGTTCCGAGTCAGGATTAAATCAAAAGTGTTGCCAGCTTTGTGGGTAGGAGGAGTTGGGACCTGTGTGAGGTCAAATGAGGATAGGAGAGCAAGGAAGTCTGTTGCCTGGGCTTTATCAGTCTGTATATTTATGTCTCCCATTAAAATTAGTGGTGTTCCAACATCAGGGATTTCTGAGAGTAGCATGTCCAGTTCCACAACAAAATCATTCAGATTACACCCTGGTGGGCGGTAAATGATAGCAATGTACATTTTAATCGGAGCAGTAACCAAGATTGTGTGATATTCAAATGAGGAGTTGTTGATCAGTGGGAAGAGTTTATTGAATTTCCAGGTATTAGAAATGAGGATACCTGTACCACCTCCACGTCCAACAGAGCGGGGTGTGTGTGAGAACACTGTGTCAACAGAAAGAGCAGCTGGTGTGACTGTATTTTCTGGACGGATCCAGGTTTCAGTAAGGGCAAGTGCCTGAATGTCTGACATTTTTGCAAGTGCTTCGATGAATTCAGTTTTATTCACAGCCGATTGACAGTTCCAGAGGCCAAAAGTAAATGAAGGGTGGGTAGAAGAGGCTTTCTTAAGCAGAGACAAGTTGTTAAGATTTCGTTGTCTATGACAGATGTGTCTTTTTCTGTTCCCATGAATGACAGAGATTTCTTTGTAGCGCATGTTGCGTTTAGCAGATGACCAGAGGAAATAGGCAAAGCAGTAGTCGTAGATGCCCGGGCTCTGTGGCCACGTTGAAGCACCAAACAGTTCCTAGTTTTCAGATCAGAGTTGTTCTGCTGGAAGTTTCGGTTCAGACTCTTTTAAGCTTGGATATTCGTGAAAATCCCACATCAGATTTTCAGCTTGAAATCAACAGAGGGTGTGACGCGCATCAACTGCCTCTCATGTTGATGCTCAGAGAATGAAACTTAAGTGCTCAGTCCAAACAAAGCCTGACAACGACTCACTATCAATATCTACTCAAAGCAAGTTTCGATTCACCCACCTAGCTGACAAGACCTTCCTAGTTTTCAGATCAGAGCTTGTTCTGCTGGCAGTTTCGGATTCAGACTCTTTTAAACTTGGATTTTCGTGAAAATCCCGCCCCAGATTTTCAGCTTGCAATCAACAGCGGGTGTGACACGCGTCAACTGCCTCTCCTGTTGATGCTCAGAAAATGAAACTTAAGTGCTCAATCCAAACAAAGCCTGACAACTAGATCAAAAACAGGTACCAACGGACTGAGGAAACAATACCATTAATGAGGCAAAACACAGGAGGTTAAAATGTTAAAATTCAAGGTGGAAAATCACACAATATTAAAATAAAGGAAACAAAACAATAGAAGGTCATCATAAGTAATAAAATAAAACACTAACAGCTAATCATTAAAAACCTAATAAAATAACAAAAACATTATAAAAAGATAATATATAATATTTAAATAAATCAAACTAAATGAGGTAAAATGAGATTTCAGTTAAAAGCCAGACTAAAAGGGTAGGTCTTGAGTTTGCTTACATTGTGTTCTGCCCTCAGTAAACTATTTCACAGACGGGGGCCGTTGTAATAAAAAGATGCCTCACCGTAGATTTTAGTTTGGACGCTTGGAACAACTAAAAGACCACTTCCAGAAGACCTGAGGGCTCTGGAGGGCTCATAAGTTAAAAGCAAATGTGATAAATAGGTGGGAGCAAGACCATTAAGAGCTTTAAAAACCAATACAATAATCTAAATGTATAAATACTTGCAATATATTTCTGTATTACTGTCCATAATGTATAATGTTCCAGTCTAATAACAAATAGCTTATTGTGTGTTAAATCAGCCAATATTATGATCCAGATATTAAAGCCCTCCGTGTACATGCAGGGACAGAAAGGAACTTGAAAAATTCATTGATCTCTCTTTCCTGGATGCAACAAAACAAATGACGACTTTGACAATACATTACCACAACAGGGCAACAAACTACTCATACCGTTATTAGCTCAACTAAAGTGGGATGTTTAGCTGTTTTGAGACTAAAGCATTTAGCTGAATGCATTTTAACTTCAATATATCCTTGCATCTTGGAAAAGAAGATGGATGATAACACAATGAATGATGCAAACCCACGGTTTCATCTAAATTATTTAAGATACTTATTTTGCACTTCATGAACTTAAACCTTAGAAAATGTGTTAACTTTTATTTACTCATTATTATATGATGTCATCATTGTCACATGACGGGACATGTTACAGTGAAATTATGAAATCTGACTTCTCCCGATGAATTAAGGTATGATTGTTTATGGAACCGTTTCTGTTATTGTCTTATTTTCTGCAGTTTCCTCAAACACCACATGATGGTGAGCGCGAGTTAGAAGCGACCCACAATACTCCAGAAGCATCACACAGACGAGCACGTTTGTGTCTGTGCCGTCTGTGGCACATTGACACCGGACGTTTACCGTTTCGGCTTTCAAAATAAGAGCTCCGGATATAGCAATTGTACATTATCTGACTAAATGAGGATGTGAAAAGATAATATATATATAGCCAATGGATAAGACTATTTATACGACTAGTTGTGACAATATAAAAGTCGTCACACTATAAATGTTGTGATTAAAAACAAAAAAATGTGTCTTCAACAGATTTGTCAGTAGCCTGAGCTATAATGCAATATGAGAATCATCAGAGTCAACTGAAAAGCAACATCAGACAACTATTGTTGATGTAAATGTTACAAACCTGCAATGGAAATATAATCGCAAATCCCCCTACGGATGTGGTAATGTATTCCACATTGGGGCAGGCTATATTTAACCCAGTGTCTGAAATTGGATGTTCCCTACTAGCATTAGTTTTATATTGTTTGTCTATGTCTAAAACATGTATTGTCACTAAGACTATTTGCAGAAAATAGAGAAAAACATGTTGTTGTTTTTTTTTTTATTTTAGCGCTTTTTATCTGATCCCATCAGATTAAAATAAATACATTTATTTCCATACCTTTCACAAATACACTGTAGACTAAACAACTCCATCTAAACATCCTCATTAATGACAGTTTTTTTTTTAATTATTATTTTTTTTTAAAGCTTGATTTATTTTAAGTTTATTTTGAAAGGTTTTACCGGATGTCCCGTATACACGCTCTCTGTCTTTACTCTGGAGCCGAGTGGCCCATATTGAACCCAATCTCTGACGGAGATCAGAGTAGTATCGCCCCGGCGGACAGTCGCAGCAGCCTTCTGGCTCGGATATTTTTTTTTCATTTTCTGGATTTTACACATCACAGAAAAACAAAACAAAAAACTGGGATGCCTTCGAATAAAAATCTTCAAGGTAATAATTAATAAAACAGCATAATGCATTGTGTATTTTTTTTTTCCCGGGTATCTGCATGTGCCTGTTCTGTCGCTAGCTTGAAGCTTAGAGTCTTTACAATAGAGCATCAGCAGGCCGACCCAAGCTAAGCCTCTGTCGATATTAACTAGCTTGTTATGGCAAATACAATTATTCTCTTTTTTTTTTTTTGCAGGAGGGAAAGCCTTTGGGCTGTTAAAGGAGCAGCAAAGGCACAAATTGGAGGAGATAAATAAGGTAAGGCATGACTCCTCTTGGGGGGGATGTAACGTTATTTTGCACGCTTACACTTGACTCCACACTGGCCTTGTGTTTTAACACGCAGACACTGAATAACGCAGGGTTCATTTATCAGTCCCAGTTGTGTTGTTTCTTAATGAATGACTCCCCTCCCCAATGCCACACACAGTAACTGGAGTTGACCGTAGCCATGCTGTTAATGCATTTTATTGATCCCTCCCCATCCTCCCCCCTGCTGTGTCGTGGCACTTGTTGAACGGATGCATGCTGTCACACAGAGTGGAGAGGTTTATTTAAGGGTATTCCCTGTGACATCACGACATCAATGTGTTGATCCTGGTAAAAAAAAAAAAAAAAAAACAGATCTGGGAGCGTGATTCGTGTGTGTGCCCGCCCCCATACACTCAGTGCACAATGTGTCTGGGAAAAACAGGTGTCTGAATGAGTTCTTTGTCTAACATTTAGGTCTCGCTTCGTCAGATTCCTCTGCCGTGGTTCCCACAGATTAACTAGATGTCTGTGTAATCTCTCTTTTTTCCCTCCCCGAGCAGACTTCACGTCATCAGCTTCCACATTATGAAAAACAAGTGGTGGTGGTGAGACGCGGGGTGCGCCCAGGACATCTCTGTTAGACACTGCAGGGACACTTCCTGTGGAGATGCATAGAGATTAGTCTACTTTTAATATCCATCGTTTGAGCAGAGGAAGGATGATCCCTAATTCCTAAGCGGCAGTGTCTAAAAATAACAGTCGTAATGTTATTAAATCCATTTTTTTTCTCCCCCCCCCCCTCTGACATCCACTTCTTCTTTGCATCTATTAGCAAGTGGACCCTGTGGGAATGGAAATGAAGCAATATCACTGTTTGTTTTTCATCTGATAAATACCTTGAAGCTATTCTTCAAACAAGAGAATCTGAAACTATATTGCCTAGCTGAAAATAATTTCCACATCTCTAATATGATTGTTTTCCTCTTAAATTTCCTGTTTTGTTAGAGAGGATGTCTGTCGTGTTTTGGTTGTGCCAAGGACAAAATATGTGATACACCCTCTTCCTTATTTTTGGGTATGGATGCACAAAACTGATTTTTTTATTTTTTTCAGTGCCATACCCGAGCTTCAGAGTGCCAATGAGCTGCAGAGGTCATTTAATAAGCTGTATGCCTCAATGTGAGGAAGAGACTGGATTCTCTCTTTTTTTTGTGTGTGGCAACATCAGGCTTGACTCAAAAACTGGTTTCCTAACTTTCCAAAGCACCTCTTCAGATGCATATTGAGTCAGACTGATGTACTAATTACTTTACACATGAGTTATGACAAAAGGTTACAGTTGCTCAGAAGGCTGCCTTGGACTCTGCTAACACATACATTCACTGTCAAGTCAACCACGTTGAGTGCCGACCCCTCTCTGCTCAGTTGCAATGCTTTGCTACATGTCATGTAAAAAGCACTTACTGTATAGTGTTGGTAAGTTGGAGCGTGCCATGCTGCGCAGACTGCACCATGACACAATTTCTAAAAACCACCCCGAGCATCTATTTTTGTATTGTATGCCCTAAAAAAAAAAAAAAAAAAAAAAAAAAAAAACATGGCACAGCAAGAATGAACTCCCAAAGTGTGAACACTTGAGCTCAATATGTCTGACGGGGCAGATTCTACTTTTTCCCAAAATGTGAAGTCTTCAAGCTGCTGACACATGACTGAGCCGATGCATGAAGACCAAATGTGCTATTGAATTGAGTGGATTCTGCTCCGGATCAGCCTCCTTATCACCGATACTCAGTCCAGCTATTTGAGCCAGTGTGAGGCCAGTATCGATATCTGATTGGTGCATCGCTCTTTCAAAGACAACACAGTATTTTTTTTTTGTTTGAGCTGATTAGTTGCCGCCCTTAAATACTTCAAATCTGAATCTTTAAGCAGGGGAGACACATGATTCTAGTCTGTATTTGACCTCTGTGTCGTGAGACATTCCTTGCTGAGAGTCTGACGTGCCTTATACTACAAGCACGACACGTATTCAAATATTTTCATACTTAGATACGGTAGATTATAGAGTGGACATTCCTGTGCGTTAGCGAGGGGGTTGTAGTGATGATTCAGCAGGGCTGAGTCATGCCTCACAGCTAAACATCCAGTTGCGCTGTTTGGCCTCTTCATCCTTAATTACAGGCCTGACGGACACATGGAGGTCAGTGCGCAGAACAAGCTCACCCTCCGCCTTGCCTGCTCTCTCTAATTCGAAATAGGTTGGAAGCTTTGAAGCCGACTCCCACGAGGCAGATTGCGTCATTATAATTTCATTAGAATAGCTCCCTTCAGGCTTGTTTCATACGCACCCTTGTGTGGCGCTCCACTTAATGAAGACAAAGACAAGTATTGACGATCAAGTGGGAAGTGGAACATCTTAAGATTATGAGTCATCCCTCACAAGTTTTTTTAACTCTGAGAAAAAAAGCACACATGAATAAACTTAATGCTCTGATTTAAGCTAAAAACTGGTTTCAGTTTTAGTCAATCTTCTTTCTCTTTTTTTCTAATCTCCTTCCCTTTTGTTCTCCCCTCTCTTCCTCCTCCTCCTCCTCCTCCTCCTCCTCCTCAGGAATACATGGAAGACCAGAAATACAGGGATGAAGAGGACCTGCCTGATAAATTGGAAGGCCTCAAAAGTAAGCACCCCTCTCCTCAGTATCCGCGAGAATGTGGCCGTGCTCTTGTTCCTGTTTTTTTTTTGTCTCAGCCTCAGTATTTGTTTGTTTGTTTGTTGGCTGCATGCACACATACAAAGCATTTCGTTTTTTTTTTTCTCTGTGGAAAAGACAGACCGCTGGGATTTCTGAGAGTCTTGCAAGGCCAAGTCCTCAGCGGTGGAGGAGGAATGTAAAGGAATGTGCCGGGGCGTTCCTCTGCTTGTTGTTATAATATTCAGAAGACTTTCCTCCTGGGAAAAGATAAAACAGTACAGATAGGAGCTATTAACAAGAACAAAAAGGCACGATTTAAACCACACAAAACCTCCTTCCCACTGAACAGATCGTCCTCATGCAGGGTGTACGTAAACTAAAGTACAAGTTCTATGATTCTGCAGACAGAATGACATAAGGCTGTTTGTTCTGATAGTTAGCATATGTTGTGGGATGGGAAACATGCTTCCATGTCCTACTTACAGTCGATGCTCGCTGGAGGAAATGGAGCAGTGATATATAAACAGAAAGGGGGCCTGACACCCTGAGAGACAGCTTCTTTTTTCCCCCCCCCTTTCTTTCTTTACACTCCTTTTCCATACTGTCCCAGTGACCTAGAGGTCAGATATAAGGAATGCACTCTTACATACCGCCATCCATCTTCACATCACTGCAACTCATCATTATGAAGTTTGAAACAAACCCTAATTTAATGTTTACATAAAGGCTGCAGGAAGGATCTTGATAACAACTTTGATGTTATTTCATGAACTCAATTCAGTTTCATTATTCAGAATACAATCTCTGAACCCTTCAGCAGTCATCCTCTATCAACGCCTGATAGATGAGATATGCCTCTGAGAATGGATCTTCATTTGTCTGTTATTCCAGTATAAACTGTTAGCGTTGAACGACTTTCAGGTAAGACTTCCTATTCCCTGCACTGTTTGTATCTTCAAAGTAAACGCCTTCATTTCTCGATCCATAACATCCCAGAGTAGCACCAGTTCATATATACACTCACCGACCACTTTATTAGGTCCAGCTGTTCAACTGCTTGTTATTGCGAATATCTAATCAGCCTATCACATGGCAGCAACTCGATGCATATAGGCACGTAGACATTTTCAGCAGTTCAAACCGAGCCGCAGAATTGTGGGGGGGGGGGGGGGGTGATTGAAGTGACTTTGAACATGGTTGTTGGTGCCAGACGGGCTGGTCTGAGTATTTTCTGCTGATCTACTGGGATTTTCAAGCACAACCTTTTACAGAGAATGGTCAGAAAAAGGGAAAATATCCAGTGAGCGGCAGTTCTCTGGGCGAAAATGCCTTGTTGATGCCAGAGGTCAGAGGAGAATGGCCAGACTGGTTCGAGCTGATAGAAAGGCAACGGTAACTCAAATACCGTATTTTCCGCACTATAAGGCGCACCGGATTATAAGGCGCACCTTCAATGAATGGCTGTTTTCATATATAGGGCGCACCGGATTATAAGGCGCATAGAATAGAACGTGTTTACAACTGAACAAGGCTGGGAGATATTGTGAATATATAAATATAAATACGTTTAAAACTACGTTTTATACGTAGTGCATTCACAATAACTCAACGTTGTTCAAACGTTAATGTGCATATTCACAGTATCTCCCAGCCTTGTTCAGTTGTAAACACGTAAAAGAAACACAGTCTGATACCGCTAATTCAAACGTTAGTGCATAACTCAACATTGTTCAGTTACATATAACACGTAAAGCTCACTTTTTCAGTTCATTCCCCGTCCACGAATCCCTCGAATTCTTCTTCTTCAGTGTCCGAATTGAACAGTTGGGCGAGTACGGCATCCAACATGCCCGGCTCCCTCTCGTCATTATCCGAGTCAGTGTCGCTGAGCGCCGTGTACAACCAGTATGGATCAACCAATTAACCAATTGATCCATATATAAGGCGCTCCGGATTATAAGGCGCACTGTCGTTTTTTGAGAAAATTAAAGGCTTTTAAGTGCGCCTTATAGTGCGGAAAATACGGTGACCTCTTTTTTCACAACCGAGGTCCCTGTGAGCATCATTTAAACGCCACCGCCTACCTGAGCATTGCTGCTGACCATGTCCAACCCTTTATGATCACAGTGTGCCCATCCTCTCTGATGGCTACTTCCAGCAGGATAACACCCCATGTCACAAAGCTCATATCATATCAAAACTGGTTTCTTGAACACGACAATGACTTCACTGTACTCAAACGGCCTCCGCAGTCACCAGATCTCGATCCAAAAGAGCACTTTTGGGGACGTGGTGGAACGGGAGATTCGTCTCATGGATGCGCAGTATATTGGCTGTACGCGGAAAACGTTTCTCTCCCTCTTTGGCAGTTTTTGGCAGCACCTTTTCGAGCGACCTGGACTCATTAAAATACATCGCCGCCGCCACCACATCGGCTTTGTGCCAAAGTTTTTGTGAGAAATGATAAATTCATCAAGTTCTGTCCTCGGTATACAGAGTTTTTATTAGGGAGTGATTTCAAATATGCCGGAGGTGGCCACCGCTGAGTTTTATACGCCTGATAAACTGGAAGAATTTTAGTGAGAGCACAAGTTAATGTGACAATGACATGTGGAAAAGCGGCCGTGTGGATGTATTGCTCCTGTGACCTGCAGGTGGCTTCTACATGTATCTATGGTCTGCGAGTAACTACACACATTTCATTATGTTTGTAAGTCTGTTGACGGATATTAAGAATACGAAAGTCAAGATGTTTTTAGAATAAACAGAAGCATTTATCTGCCCTCAGGCTCAGTGAGTATCACTGAAAGGATGTTGAGAAGATGCCTTGTTTATCTGTTGGCCAGAGTGACAGGGGAAGTCATCATTCTTTCAGCTATTTCATGTGCAGGGATCTTCTTTCTGCAAAGGAAAACCCCCTGAAGAGCATAAGTGCTGTAATGGACGGCAGACAAACTCGCCCTCAAAAAAAAAAACAGCTCAACGTAAATCAAACTTAAATCGCGGACCTGTTCTAGAACATCAAAGATGATGAGGGAGGAAAAATGGCTGTCGTTTTGTCACATCAGCTGCTAAAGTGGGTCAGGGGGAAACGGTGAAGAAGACTTGAGTTCTGTTCAGCTGAGGCCGTTTTCTGTGGCTGCAGATGATCAACAGGCTGCTCTACGACAAGTGGCGCTCTCAAGAATGGCTCCCTGTGTGTCTCTGTGGAGGCCCCTTCCTCAGAGTTTACTAACAGAGTACGCATTGTCCTCTTCTGCTCCCCGTGGGTTTGCACACAGTTAACACAGTTCCCTCTTCCCCCTCCACACGGACACACACACACACACACACACACACACACACACACACACACACACACACACACACACACACACACACACACACACACACACACACACACACACACACACACACACAGAGCTTCCACTGTGAGACTGAAATAGTAAGTGAAATCTGACTAAAGAGGTCTGCTGGAGAAAAGCGGGAAAATTTCTGCTTTGATGTTTCTTAAGCCAAAGTCAGGAGAAAAAAAAATCGTAATGATCGGACTACAGGACTACACCTGACAGAAACTGTTTGCCATTTACCCCTGAAATGAACAAGTGAATCATCCACTTGAGTTAGAGTTTGAGAATTGGACATTTACAAATCGAATTATTGAATGGAAAGTTGTTTGAATAAACTCGCTTGTTGTGTTGTTTTGAATGATTTAAGGTTAAATTAAGTCTTTCCAGATAGATAACATATTTTCTACTCAAGGAAAAGATATGGAAATACTAACACGTGTCATCTCTAACCTGCCAGAAAAGATTTTTGTCTCCTTTTTCAAGTCTTTACACTAAGCCAGAGGTTCCCAACCTCTACTTGTATCTAAGAAACCAGGACCCACACAAAAAAACATTATTTATTGATTAGATTTGATCAGAACAGGTCACACATGTTCTTACCTGACGGTTGAATAAAGTGTTTTATCAGGATTTTAATTCGATACGTTCAAATGTAATTTTGACAACCTCAGAGCTTACAGAGCCTTGTGCCCCCCCCCTCCCCCCCACGCTTGCTGTCTCCTGATATCAAAAATGTTCTCAGTAAGCGCTCAGAAAAAAAAAAAGATGATTGAAACTTCCAAACTATAACTTTAAGCTCAATATAAATCTGGATGTATCAGGAAAGCAATAATACAAAAAGTGTATGATATTTGGTGCATGTTAAAGCGCATGTGTTTGTTCTTAGAAGAGCCACATTCACCTCTGCTTTTTTTCTTATTCTAAAACTGAAATTCTCGTAACATTATATTTGAGGTCATGTTTTAAACAACGGATGTTTTTCTAAATTTTCCAATTTCCCTTGAATCATGAACATTGCTTGCACTATGAGGCAGGTTCGGATGTGTCTGGCAGGCATCAGAGTTTGGACCGTTTTCGTCTGCGTGTTTGTCAGGCTGGAAGGATCCGATTTAAAGTGAGCGAGCGACTCTGGAGCGAAAGTCTGAGCTTTTCAGACAAGGCCTTGTTTTCCTTCCTGATTGCTGCGTTTGAACTCGTTGCGTTTTGTTTTCACTTCCTGACCTGCTCACTTTAATCTGTCTACTCATGTCAACCCCCCTCAGCTGCCCTTTTCCTGCTTTCCACACACACACACACACACACACACACACACACACACACACACACACACACTTAAAAACACACCTGTCATTATCAGCTGCCTGTGTCTTTCTTTCTTTTTGCCGGGTCAGCTGTCAGCAGAGCGTATGACAGTCAAATCACCTGACACTGTGTGTTTCAGTTGTGCTGACATGTAAGATTCTAACAGGTGATTGCTGTCTGTTTCAAAGTTAAACGTGGGCATGTGGTGTGTGAGCTAACAATTAATTACCACCTTTAGTAATAATCTCTTCTCTGTGTTTGTGGGGTTTTTTTTGCAGATAAATACGCTGAGTTTGACCTGAATGACCAAGATGAGATTGGTGAGTAACATGTGTTGCGCCAAAACACCAACTGCACGACGCTAGACAACAACTGTTAACTGACCTGTGTGCGGTGTGCACTTGAGGGGAACAGTAATTAATACTGTGTGTATTGTCTGACCAGTGTGAGCACATGCAGGGCTTCAGCAGGCTCATGTGTCATGTTTGTGTCTTGTATGTAAAGTGAGATCGGACTGTAGAACCGTGTGAAAGGTCTTTGGCAGATGTGAGGCGAGCCGTATTGGGGGAAACAGACAGCTAGTGTGGAGCCTGAATGAATAATTATTTTTTAGCTACATAAGCATCTTGAAGGATGGAAGTGTCATTTCACCGTGCACTAATAGAAGTTTATTTAGTACAAATATTTCTAGACATGAGGTCTTTTTGAAGCCCTTTTTTCAGCTGAAACGCGTCGGTTTGCCCCACAATTTTAACTTCACCTTTAGCCATGAATGAATGAAAGGCTAGTTAACTTTTGTAATGTGACAAAGTGAACTTGGATACCTTTTTGTGTTTGCCTATTTTACTCTTCAGAGGACTTTTTTCACTCTAGCGATGCCTACTCTAGCCTTTTATTCTTTTTGCTTAGTGTAAATATGCAAATGTTAGCACAACAAAGATCAGCTTGTTTGCGTTTGACTTTGTGAGAATGTTTGTGTGATAACGCTTTAATTTAGCTCAAAACAACACTGACCAAGTGTACAACCTATGAATGTATACAGAAACAGATACAGCATTGGAGCCAGCTTCAAATTAACTCAAATGACTCAAATGCAAAAAAAAAAAAAAAAAAAAAAAGTTCAACTTCAGTTGTGCCTATCTTTTGGTCAGCTCCTGCATACTATGATCCAAAATGCAATCTCACAAGCATTTCCTCTCAGCTCCCTTCCAAACCCTTTTGGTTCTGCAGCAGAATGCAGAGGAAATAACTTTGGATTTCTTTTTGAGTATTATTTTTTTTTTTCACAGCGAGAGAAGACACAGAGTCATAAGAGTCTTTATTGGGCGAAGATGTCAAGAGCTTGGCACACATAGCTGAAAAATCTTGTTGTACTTAATGTTTCTTTTTTAATTAAGAATATATCACCTGGCATCAGTCCCAAATTAGGGTTGAGGCATTATTTGGTTTAAACTGTATGTATTTTCCAAAGACACTTTGTGTAATTTAGTATGACACGAAGACAGATCTAAAAAATTATAATCAGAAATGAAGCTCTAGATTAAGATATATTGATTTTTTGAGTTCTAGACACTTAATTATTTTCTTATATTCCAGAAAAACAAAGTTTTTGATTGGAATATCTTGGCCTTCTTTATTCTCAGATCTTTCAACACCCCCATCTCCAGTATGCAACAGAAGCTTTCTCGTGAAATAATGACTGTCCTAAGCTGGGATATATAAGATAAACCATAGATGATAACCCTGATGATGTCACAAGGCTTAGTCGTTGCATTTCTGATGAGCAAACTGAATCTAAACTAAGCTGTTCCTCCTCTCAGATCTGATGGGCCTGAAGCGCATGATGGAGAAGCTGGGGGTGCCTAAGACCCACCTGGAGTTGAAAAAGATGATTGTGGAGGTGACGGGCGGCAGCAGCAACACCATCAACTACAGGGACTTTGTCAAGATGATGCTTGGCAAGCGCTCAGCTGTGCTCAAACTGTAAGTAAACCCCAAGAGTTCTGACTTCTACCTGTTTTTACATCTAAAAAGAAAACATCTGCTGGTTGACACAGTGTGTGTGTGTGTGTGTGTGTGTGTGTGTGTGTGTGTGTGTGTTCACGTGTCAGAGGGGGAGGATGAATCCTGTGCAGTGTCAGCTGCTTGTTTCATCCATCAGCAGGGGTTTTAGGATGACAAGCAGTGATGTCATTAACCACATGCTGCATGGCTTCAAAGCTAGTCTTTTAAGCCTAAACAAAGTCTACTCGTTGTTTTCTTGGGATAATGTTCTGTGGTAATTCATTTCCGTGCTGATTTCCTGCTGACGTGACAAAAACAACAATTAAGAAAATCAGACATAAAAAAACTTCACAAAACATTCTATGAATAACAAGTTTGCAGTGATTTACAGAGCACTTTCTTGGTCTCATATATTATCTCAACACACAGCGCATGCATAAGTAAATGTAGTGGAAGCGTGTGTGTCTGTGCACTGGCTACAGCTGCAGGTCATACTGTGTGGTCAGAATAAACACCAAAGGAGTCGCGTGCATCAAGGGGGCTTTACCTTATAGGCTTTGGACCGAACACAGCGCTCTGTATACGATTCTGTTTGTCTACATTTGCTCTTACAGACTTCAGGTAGGCTTTTACCTTACTGACCATACATTTCTGATTTCATGTCACCTGTAACAACCAGCCTTAACTATAAAGCACTGCAAGAAACAATGAGATAGTCACTCCCCTCTCCGGAATAAATAAATTATTTTAGTTTTTGGACAAAAAGATGGGTCAACAGACAAAGCAGATATGCAAACAGTGTTATTACGACTACGAGATAAAATAAAGAGAAAACATGAAAAACCTGGTCGGCCCCTTGAAGATGAAACATTGTATTGACCCTCATGCTAAGTAGGCGCTTTACATTAAAACACAGGTCTTTATTGTTTCTGTTAAAAAATAATATAGTTTTTCATTTAAATGTCAGAAACGTTCCTCAAATGATCGTGTCAGAAAATTAAAAAACTGATTGTGATAAATGGAAACATACTAATGTTGTTCCCCATGCCCATAAATCAAAATGATTCAAACTCATATAGTGGCAGACATTTTGATAACTGTAAATTTCATATCGTATAAACATTTTGATATCATATCATGTTGAAACTGGTGATTGTCACCCTCAGTGATCACGTTCATTTTATTCACACAGTCGAAAAGCAACAAATAAATAGAAGTAAACTTCAACTTTTGAAACTCCACTTCACGTCACATAAATTGGGTCAGTGTTTCATCAAAGGATTTTGTTCCTTTTTGATAAATCCTAAACTCCCCGCTGCAGTATGTTGCTTAATCCACACATGAATTAAAACCATTTGTTTATTTAAATGCACTTGTGATCATTAATGATATTCAGAGCTGTGTTTATTCACAGAGAGAATCTTGGTGTTTCTCACCTACTGCTCCTCACTCTCTGATTACACCAACTGTCTGCAACACCTCTCCTTTGGGCTCCTTTTTTCTCTCTGGAGGTGGGGGGGGGGTGCAAATCCGCTTTAGTATTATTCAAAGCCTTTGCAGTACAACAATTGACTCAGTTACAATTCAATGACAGAGAATGGGGTCAAGCTCCACAATTGCATATAATATGTTAAAGCTCTCTGAATAAGGTAACTACTCTTTAACTATAATTTATTTGGTTTGTTACACACATTTTAAACGATATCTTACGAGTCTTATCTTCTAAAATAGGATTTGATGGACGTGTTGAATCGCCTGTGAGGCATTCCACTGCACAGTTATCGTTTGTAGGCATTTCCCAAAATCAAATACAACTTTGACTTTTACTCCACAGCACGTTCGATTACAGCACTTTAGGCTGTACACTATAACAAGATTAGGTCAGCTGGTCACTGAACCAATTTAGCTCTTCTGTCTACATGGAAAAGATTAACCTGACATGCTTGAATCATAACAAGTCTGTATTGATTTTTAATGAAGACAATTGTAGAATAATCACTTCACTTTTGCACATATCGATCTACTATCAGTAGTGTGAAGTTTAGAGGGTTGATGTGGGGGGGGGGGATTGTTGCCAGAGTTGCTGAGTGCTTGTTTCCTCAGAGGGATCATTGCTCCTTATGGGCTTAGTGGAGCTTTGCAGAGTTTTCCAAAAAAGGAAATTAAAGACAGGCATTCGCTCTGAATAGCTCCTGTCAGAACGCTCACTCTACTGTGTGTGTGTGTGTGTGTGTGCGTGCGTGCGTGCGTGTGTACAGCCTTAAACTAACGTTCCCCTCGGCTCCTTTGTGGTTTCCTTTCACTTTTCACTTACTCACACCTAAAGTCAGGGTATGGACTAACCGAGCCGTGACTCTGTGTATCCTTCATGAACTGATTATCCCTCCTCGCTGACACATCCTGCCTCTAGTCTTCATAGTTAACTTGCTCATCTCTTTTACAACACCGCCTTTACTTCCTTATGCCCCTCTCCATGGTGCTGAAGCATTGAACCGCTAATTTCAGCTGAAGTGAAAGAGTAATCAATTGACACAATATTTTACTTTATTTCTTATTTATGTAGTTGTACAAATAACAATAGAAAATGAATGCTGAGTGCTGCATTCTACCTCACTTTACTGCACTGTGTGATCTATTTATTTCCTTCCATACACCAGACGTCAATATGACCTCGCCAAGGCCAGATTTAAATTCTTATATAACATTTTATATAGTCAATGTGCCTGCTGGGCAATGCACAACACTACAGCTGTAACTATTAGTGATCCTAGTAACCACAAAGGGTGAAATCATTGCTTATGTCAGCCTCTGTTCCTACTGCACACATACATTACACCTATGTAGCTATGAATTCTGCCTCAGTGTTGAACCAGACTCATTACAACATCCAACTCATACACACCTCATACTTTCCCCAACAAACACCCTAGAGAATGGACGTAAACAATCCAATCACATACTCTACTAATAGCAATATCTTAGCATACACCAAGCAACCCAGTACCAAATATTTAGCTACATCCAAGCAAATACCTTTATTTATTTATTTATTTATTTTTCTGGAGTACAATCCTAGAGCCATGGTTCTCCACGAGTCCAGCCTCAGGACGCCCTCTAACAACTCCTTTGTGAAAACTGTGACCCAAAATTTTGGATACTTTTCAACCAATCAGATTGAGTTAATGAAAGATTGTACAGTTTGCACCTCAGACGGTACAAAACATGTGACAACATTTTTTTTTCTAAATTTAACAAAACTAACAGGTTTAAAAAGTGCTGCATAGACTTTTTGACCAGGGTTTTTATTTTCCCATTCACACAACACACGACCCACTGAAAACAGCACTACGAGCCACTTGTGGGTCCTGGGTCCACCAGTTGAGAACCACTGATCTCTAGAGTACAATTTCCCAAGGGTTCATGCTTACTCATGTCAATCACTTTTAAAGCTACTAATAGGTAGGTTATGTAACAGACTGAAATAATACTTATGATGTGTCTTCATGAACTACAAACACAAACAAGACCATTAGCCACAAGATTGACTATTTCTCTATAATCATTAATTAATGCCTGAAACCAGGGAGGGACCGTGTGTGCTCAACTGCACGCTGCCAAAACAGCCTTTGTTTACATTTCCCATAAAGTGATATATTCAACTGTTAAAATAAAGCAGGCAGATATAAACACTACCTCCACATGTACAGGATGAAAAAATGTCACTTTTACAAAGTTTGTTCGCCTGATAGCACTGACCATGTGATCTTATGATTGTAAAATGTTCCATTCACTTTGCGATGCAGTCAAAAGACACATGTATGTAATCGTCTCTATATAATGATTCCTCTCTCTCCGCAGAGTCTTGGTCTTTGAGGACAAAGCCAACGGCGCTTCCTGCAAACCAGATGGACCCCCTCCAAAGCGGGACATTTCCAGCCTACCTTAAGATGAGATGTTAGCCTCCAGACTTAACGTGGAGCACAGAGGGACCATCAGTGGATACGTCTTAAAAAAAAAAGAAATTGAGTCGTTCTTTTAACATGTGGAGTGTCGTATTAGTGTGGGACCAGTGATAAAGGATGTTATTTTGTGATATACAAGGTGTCTGTTATTTGGAAGACGGAGCCGACAACTCACTAGATAAAGTGTGACTGTGAATATTATGATTCATGTTTATTTCCTTAACTCAAATGTAGCATTGATAGGTGTGTACACGTAAGCCGCTTGATAGGTGAACATTTGTAGTTGGTGTTTTTATGGTCGTTATGAAGGGAAGACTCAATTTTCAGGAGTTTTTTTATTTTATTTTATTTCAATTCTTGTTCATTTTGTTCCAGTTTGGGACAAGTTAATATCAACAATGTGAGTGTATGATGCTTTGAAAAAGAAAAGGTTTTCCAACACACTTCTGCACTGTCCTCAGCGGTCTTGGATGGATTCCTGCCAGGTTTAGTCTTGGTCACGCTTCAGATGTGTCGCCAGAGATTAAAGGCCCAGCCCTTTTCCTCTGGGTCAAAGTCGTCGACCCTTTTCGGAAGTGGGTGCTCTGATCTGGAATCAGTAACAAGGTTATCACAGCCAACATGAGGTCTCAGAAAGAAAAGAAAAAAACACATGACTGAACTGCTATGCATTTTACAAAGTCATTCACACTATGAGAGGAGAATTAGAGATCATGTCAACTATGGGACTTGAAGTTTCAGTGCGTGGCTTGACAGCGAATCGGACTTAGTTTTTGATCTGTACGGCTGAGCACATGTTAGTTTTGGAAGGAGTGTGACTTAAAGGCACACGAGCATAACAAATGTACATAATATATTACACACAGTACAATCATGTTCTTTCCAAGTGCCTCAACATGCGGATACTGTAGAGCTTAAACACGCAGATTGAAAAAAAAAAAAAGAGGGAGTGTACGGTCTTTGCTCAGAGAAATTGTCATTTGGTGAGATAGTTTGAGATGACGTTTGTTGAATTACAATGTAAGGTGTTACCACAAGATTCTGAGGGTGTGATGTTCACAAGTGTAATTGTAGTTTTTATGCGTGTTTCCCTTTTCTTACCATTTCATTTTATACACATCAGCGAGCGTTTAACCTGTTCATAGGGTGGATTACTTTCTCTTTTTTTTAGCTCACCCTATAATTGTTCATGTTTGTTATTCATTTGGATTTGTCTTTGGGTTCTTCTTTCTACCCTATAATTTTTTTATCCAGCCATTCCCCCTCTCTGTTTTAATTGGTTCATCGTCCTGTGAATTCTGTAATTTGTGCCTCCGTTCTGCAGTTTAGATTTTCCTCTTTAAGTCTCACTATTTTCTGTGAATATGGTACTTTCGTAGTATTTTAAACCCACTTATGATGTGTTCAACTGTGTTTTTTTTTTTTAAGTCTTGTCAGTGTTATAACAATGTTAGGATGCAAATTGTTTGCAGACACCAAAGGAATTAAATTTCACCTTACACTGGCCTGTAAAGTTTTGGATTCATTTTTAAGTGGTGATCTTTGAAACTCTGGATTAATTTGAAGCTTGGTTGAAAAGTGACAACTTTAACATAACATTATAATTATTTCACTAGTAAACCCCAGTGTATATTCAGCACATATTTTTCCACTAATGTTGATAGCTACACTGAGAAGCAGATAAATATATGCAGTAATTATGTTTTTTTTTAGCTGCTTGGTTTTAGTGGCTGATGTAGCTCTGCAGTCATAAAGATTGTTTTTTTTTTTTTCCATCAAGCTAGCAGGGGGTTAACGAATGAAGAATCCTCGTTTTACAACAGATGTCATTGTAGCACTCCTCTGGCTGTCAGTGCGGATACATGTAAAGGTTAAACTTATACATGAGCAGTTTGTCAAATGAGAAAACCTCTTGCATCTTTATTCTCAGTGAGGTCTTAAGCAGTAATCAATGGCGTGTGGGAATGCTTTGTTTTTGCTTTGTTTCATTGTAATAATGGTTTCATTCCATGTTTTATTTTTTCCCCCCCCATTCACTTTCCATGTTGCTTAATGTCTGTGCAGCTGTACGAATACAAACTCTTCTTGAGCAATAAAATGTTTTCATGAAAAGTAAAGAGCTGCTGAAACCTGTTTGTGTTTTGTCTGTTTGGACCAACAGGCCAGTTCATATTCTAGTTCACGAGGAGAGCAGGTGCTTTGGGGAGTTTAGGCAATACTTTAACAAGCTCACTTACAGCCAATCAGGCAAGGGCTATACTAAGAACCTTTGCAATTAAAACAGTAATTGCTGCATGCAATGTGGTGCCAGAAGCTTGTGGAGATAGCGGAACAATAGAGTCGGGACAGTCAAGTACTTTTGAGGTAAGAAATAATACAGTACAATGGTGACACGCTAGCCATGGGGATGTCTTACAGGGTCAGTTTATTCTTGTGCTGCTCCAGTTAACGTCACATTATTTTGAACCTTACTTTCCTTTTTGAAACCCTCTTGTTGTGTTTAAAGAAAGTCGTTCTCAATCTTCTCATCTCCTCTTTACTTAACATTTCATTCCATTAAATCTTTGTTGTGCTTGTATTTCAACACTCAGTCTATATCAACTATGTATTCCGAAGATGTGGTTTATCTGCTGTGGTCATTGACTCAGTAGTTTGGATTTAATTGCTTGTTACTGCTGAGTCAAGTCCAATTTCAAAAGATGTATTGTTCCGCACTAATTGTAATTTATAGTCAAAGGCTGACATGGGAATAATGAATTCCGCACTGCAGTGCATTCACCTCAGTGTCTCTCTCTCTCTCTCTCTCTCTCTCTCTCTCTCTCTCTCTCTCTCTCTCTCTCTCTTTAATAGACACTGCTATCTAGTGGTCATAAGAAAGTAATACAGTTGTCAGAAACTGGATGCAAAGCAAAATGATAAATTAGGATCTGCGTTGTCTCTATTGAACACAAACAACACACAGGTAGTCATATAATTACAAGTTAATGGTAACTGGTCAGCCTCCATTGACTAGTGGAAAAAAAAAATCAATTGGTGTTGACATCCAGCTTGAGCTGTAGGCCTTCATTAAGATCACTATCTGCAGACACTATACAATAACAAAGCAAAGGTGAAGTACAAGAAGCAGCTAATATCAAGTGTGATAAATGTCCATTTTCAAAAGCCCACACTAAAGCGGCTCATGCCAGTTGGGATGCCAATGATTGTTGACTTAATAAACCGTAAAATATTTCTACATGATTGATGAATTTAATTATCCGAGGGCTTATAGCTGAAATGCACATCATTCATCGTACAGGCGCAATCAACCTCATACATTACTGAACAACATGCACAATAAACTGAAAACAAATGCAGTTCAAGTCCACGTATCCACAAAGAGCATCTGTTGATTTACAAAACTCTTCCGTTTGAACAAAACATACAGCAGAATTGTCTTATCTTATCTTAGGTGACAATGGAAACAGAAATGGACAACGCCTGCTAGCTAGCAGCTGCTTATCTGCTTTCTTTCCATCGATGCAAATAGCTTCCTAAATGCTGTTCAGTTAACAGCATTTTTGGTACCATTTCCCTCATTTCTTATCATTGAAAAAATGAAGTTGTTCAGATTCGACTGTTTAACTAACCAGCACGCAAAAACGATGGTATTTGACACCCCTGGTATCTCCTAGAAACTGACTAGAGTAACATCTGTTTATGTTGTCCAGTCAGACACACAACAATACGAATTAAACAATCAAATCTGGCAACAAGTAAGGTCAACAGTCCTAACTTGAGTCCCTGAAACATTATTTCCAAAGAAAACTGCAGCTCATTTATTTGAAAACAATCAAAGATTATTTCTTTTAATCTGTATTTTCTTAACAATCTGCCTTTGTCAGGGCAGGCTTGAAATGGTCTCTGTAAGATTATGCCTGGGCAAGATCCTGCTCTCTGTTGCTCCATCTTTGAATGTTTAAACTGTCTTCTTTGTACTCATATCACCTTATCCCATTCATAACAAGTTGAAAGTGTTGTTTTTTTGCATTGTACATTTGCGTACATGCAATAAATAAAGAATGCGATTATAAATCTGAGTATGCCATAAACAACCTTGAATACATCTTCTCAGTCCTGAACAGCTCATCAGTTGATCACAACTTAAAATAAACCCTGAAAAGATCCTTAACTGACAAATCTCAACTGTAAGATTGCTATGTAACCACAAGATGTTGCCACTGAAGGGACTTACAGCTGTAAGGCTCAGTCCCATTTCTAGTCCTCTCCCTCTTTTTGTCCATCATAACAGACTTACAAGGGGTAGGGGGAAGTCTCCACTACAAACTAGGACAACCCTTCAAGACGCTGATACGACGCTCCATTCTATTCCAAGACTTGAAACAACCTATACCCCTATGCCAGAACAAAGGGGTGGGGCTTAGTGGTAGGGGAAAGGGGTATATTGGGGCAGAGCCTACGTTTCTGATCAGAAATGGCCTGTGAGAGTCAGTGTAGCAGATGTGAAGAAACATTATCAAATTTATGAATCTTCATCTTTAAACTCAATAAAAGTAGAAACAGAGCAAAAGAAGTAGGCTATACTAAATGCTATATGCACTATTTTGATGTGAAAAATTATATTTAAAATGTTCACCTAAATCGGTGTCTTTCAATTCCCACACAGAGGACACAGTGCACACACAGGGAGGCACACATACAAAAACCAAGTTTAATTGACAGGGACTTTTGTTCTAACTGTTAATTCCCAGCAGCCCTCTCTGGGGAGTCATGGTAACTGTTCACCAGCCTGTTCTTTCTTTAATAATCAATCACTGACAGAGCGAAACCTGTATTTGTTAGGCCTGTACTTTGAATGATGGGAAATGTTTTTTTTAAGTTAAGGTATATTGTATACTGCAGTCCTTTGGAGAGTGGTAAGCAATGCTTTGAAAAAGATTTTTGTCTAGTTCTATCCGCAAGAAACTCTTCATATCCATACCAGCTGTTATTCACAACTTGTCTATATGAATCCTCTTGGCTCTGTTCAAACTGAAGAGGTGGTTTAGGTTTCAGGTCCATCTCATTTTTACCCTACATCTGGAGGTTTTAACACAAAAGGATCAGACCCAGACCAAGATCCAGATCTGCAAGGAAACACGGAAGGACTTCTGGAAGTTCAAATCTGTCTCATGTACCAGAGCAGATCTTGGCAATCAAATTCTAGCACCTTGGCCAAACCAACCAAGCACGTTTTTCTGGCCCTTGGTGACCCGCCAGTTGGGGTTAAAGTTGTTAAAGTGATTTTTTAACCCAGCACTTGTCTGAGTGTTATGGAATTATGTGGCAACATGACCACAAATGCCTCACAACGTAGAGATTTACCGCTCAATAGGCTTAGATCACTTAAATGATTCTTGGTCGTTTTTAGGCATTCCTTTCAGCTATTCAGCATGGATGGTTTGTGCAGCATGTAATCTGGTGCAGCAGTCACGCTAACCACAGGGCTACACTTTCTTGCTCTCAAGCCTGCTGACTGCACATCATGTTTTTCAGCCCCTATCTTTGTTAACAAACAGCCATTGTAATCAGGAATGATCGTTTCCTCGAATCATCCCACTGGACTCATTCAATTGTAACGTTATGTGACCGAGGAAGTAAATTCAAGGATTGATAAAATCAAGTAAAGGACAAGAAATGTTGTTTGTTATATAAAGAGCAGACATGGAACAGAACAATGGCTGTTTTTAGGGCGCTAATTTGAGACAATGTGTTAAAGTCATAGGGTTAGATGATTGATTTATAGATAAAATGTTACAGATGGATGTTGTAGTGACATATCAATGAATACAATAATGAGCTGCTTATATATTTGAGTCCACTTCAGATTATATTCAGGAAACAATCAAGGATGAATTCATTCTAGAAACTTTGGAATCCAGATTTTTTGGCTCTTGGTAATTGTTGGGTTGTGGTACATGTTTTAAAATTGAGACACACTGTGCAACCACAGACTAACACCCAAATGAAACTAAATGTGAACTTCTAAACATATTAAAATGTTGGCTAACAAATGTATGTATCTCCATTGTCCTACAGTACTTTAAAAGATAAAGTATAATTCTGTATAATTTGAATGTCATATCGGAACATATGTGTATAAGGACAGAGCTAATCCTACGTTTCCATTTTTCAACTTTTAACATAATTGATCCACAATAATATTCAGTGTAAAAAAAGAAAAAGGGAAAAAACTGTGGGTTGCATTTATCTCCAGAAAATAATATTAATATAGTGTATTTTATTACACCAATTGTTTTTTTTTTTTTTTGGGTTGTTGTTTTTGGGCCACTTTGCCTTTACTGGACAGGACAGCTGAGAGAGAATGTGGAATGATAGTAAAGGGCAGAGGTCGGAGTCGAACCCAGTGGCGATTCTAGAGTTTGTCGGGGCCCTAGGCAAAAAAACAATTGGGGGACCCTCCATCCAGCGTTCATCATCAGTGTCCTGCCCCAACCAGTTGCCTGCCTTGCCTGTTGACAAGCAGCGCCTCTGGTCGAACCCACAGTCGCTAGGCTATCCAGCACTCCTACAATACCAACTCATAACCGAAAGCTCTTGTGTCTTCAATGCGGCTGCTCCTGTATTTTTTATTATTCATTTTTGTTGCTGTACTGTGGTGCCATTCCTGGGGCCCATAATATTTGCAAAACATTGAAAACCATGTATATTTATTTGAAAATAGCCCAAAGACAAATGTTGGAAGATGTTTTTTTTGTTTTTGAAGAGTAAATGCCCATTTTGAATTTTATGTAGGTGACACTTTTCAAGAAAGTTGGGATACGTTCATGTTTACCTCTATGTTGCAAACATTTTTCTTTTAACAACACTTTTTTTTTTTTAGCATTTTGCGGACTGAGAGGCACATTTCTGTCATTTTGAAGGAGGAATGTTTTATCCATTTTTGCTTAAAGTAGGATTGCAGCTGTCCAATAGTTCAGGGTCTCCTATGTCTTATTTCACTCTTCAAAATGCTCCAAACATTTTTTAATGGGTGAAAAGTTTGGCACCTGCACTCTTTTACTACAGAGTCATGATGTTGTAATATGTGCAGAATGTGGTTTGGCATTGTTGTGTTGAATGAAAGAATGTCT